GTTATAGATAGGTATAAATGAGACTCATCTCCATTGGTTTTTATATTAAGTGGGCCCTAATTATATCTACTTTCCCGGTAGGGAAAATGGACCCAATACGCGCCTGCGTACCGTAAAAATTACTGCGCGGGCTCCGATCTACGTGTCATGGAATTTGTTGACGACGAATTTTGCTCAGCGGAGCAGTAGTGGAGTATACGTCTGGGTGAAATAGTAAAAACCATGTTCACTGTGCGTTACACGCGTGGCTAATTATTACTGAACGAGATTGCGAACGATTACAATATTCTAATAAGAAATGTGCCACCGATGGCTGGTATTAAGAACATACGTTGTTCGAACAAATACGAATCTTAGACGTTCGCATTCGGCCGTTTTGCCGTATCGATGATTTTACCTTAAAAGCCAGTGTCAATAAAATTTAAATGAGTAAATTATGAGTATATTTAGGTCGATTTTGTAATTCAGTTTATCATGGCGATGTATTTATATGTATACCGTATTCAGACAATTCGGTATTTTGACCGGTAGCTCCTCATTTTTCGGTTTCCATTTTGTCGATCGACATTCCTTTGTTATAAGTATTTTAATTACGATTTAAAAGTGCGCAATGGATGACATAAATGCGGAAATTCTTGTATCATTGGTTGAAGCATTGTGGGATAATCATTGGATGTAGGTTTATAAGGATAAAACATCGAAATAATCGATATAGAGGGAAATATGTAGTGTTTTAAATGAAGGCTTCCTAGTACATTACTATTAATGTATTCAAGTCTACCTTCTCGAGTTTTGATGAGCATACGAATAAGACTGAAAACCAAGTGTTATAGTAGGGTTGCGTATGGTGTACGGTGAAATAACAGTCTAAACGGTCAAACCGAAAGACATCGAATCGAGAAAATATCCGATACGGTAAGACTATCGAATCGTGTGAACGAGCTCTTATTATATCAACTCAATTCAGTCATAATCGCCGTTGAATACGTTGTATATCCTCGTCTAATGGTACGTTTTCCTTGCAGCGTCCAAACACAGCGTCAGACGCATTATCTAGTGAGATTGCACATTTTATATGTGATCGTTTTCCTACTCGCGTTTGGTCGTTGCGCGTCTGTAAGATGACACACTACTAGTCTGAATCGGTGTTGCGTCTACACATTAACAATTTCAAAACAATTTGTATTTTCTTCGACCGAGGATGAAATATTAATTGAATTTAAAAAAATAGCGAGATTTTTATCAGCGCTAACATTATTTTCATTTTTGAAATTCGGAAAGCAATTGACAAAGAGCAAAAATATTCGCTTGTATCTCAGATATCTGGAACATAATTAAAAAAAAAAATTTTTTTACAACATAAAATTGTTTTACGTACATATTATGGTTATTGTTATCATAAATAAGTTCAATAGTAGGCAATTTTCACTCTAGTATCCAAGTATTATTTAAATAAAGTATTCTAACTATACTGTTGAATTCTTAAAATTAATTCTTAAAAATAATTCATTTTTAAACAATTGTTCTTCTTTAAGCATTTCACAAATAATATTATTATAATTTAAGACTAATTGTCGTTACATCATGATGAATATATATAATAAATAAATTTTAAAAAAACGCGTGTATAGATCACTGTTGCAAGCACTATGATAGAATTGTAGTCACCGCAGTTTGATTGAAAATTGAAAAAACAAAAAACGATTGCGTGGAGACGCATTCAAAGAAAACAGGCGAACGTTGAAGAAAAATTCTGCGTTTGGACGCTTCAGGGAGAATGTACCTTATAGCTGAGGCAAAACCGTCAGATTTGAAAAATAACGATAATAAAACCATAAATTGATTGTACATATTCCTATTATTGAACGATACAGCAGCAGATGTTTTCGATGAGTTTGTTGAAAAGAAAAAAGAACAAAATGCAACTGACCCGCAGATTATAGTTAATTGCTCAAAATTTCCTTTGTGTCGCAAAATAAATCATAATACACCGTTCCGTATAGGTCCCCGTATATGGGCAAATCGCCATTATTGTTGAAAATAATCAGATCTTAAAAATCAAATCAAAGCACGTTCATAAATAAAACGAGGATTTCGACCAAAACAAAACACATCGATTCCGTACGTTGAAACCTAATCGTATCGCGCAATCATCTCCACGCCGCATTTTCTCGTTTTCCACAGCTGCACATTCGCAACAATCTTATTGTTGTGATGTAACATTATACAGTTTTACGTTCGAATTATAATTACCTCTGTTCGTTATACATTTTATAATGTACGTATCAAATCGAAATTATTCATAGATTAAAATCATTGTTTTTTATTTTTATTGCTCATTATATGTATTTATTATCCACTTCTTTGTGTTACGCGATTTTCATATTATATTACACGATGCATTTCTCTTTTCGTGAAAAACATTGCATCGCAAGAAATATTGGCGCTGGTCACTGTGTAAAGGTCGGTTTGTTCGTTTTTCATGTTTTCGCTAGATCGGCAGCTCGAGCGGTTCGACGTCAGCAGTGCTGCCCGTTTTCGTCTTATTTCCGATTCGCTTGTAAATCACGAGGCGATAAAGGAGATTGCGCAAAAAAAGAAAATTTCTCAAAAAAAAATACATGAAATGTTAACGCAGCGCGCTCGGTACTAAGTCGCGGCAGTAGCGTAGACAGGAATTTTAATTGGTGGGGGGAGATGTTACCCAGAAAAATAGCAAATTTTTGTACAAAAAAAAATTATTTTTATTTTTCTACAAAATATGTTATAGTTTTCAATATATCTACTTTTCTTGGTTGACCTGACATGATATCAAGAATTTCGTCAGGTATAACAGGAATTTCACGGTTTAGATTTATATTTTATACTAACCTTAAATAAGAAAAATAATTATTTATATTTACTTCAGCCATCGTATTCCTTAAATATGTTTTCAGCCTTTTAAGTTGTTAAAATCGTTCGTTATTGTCGTTAATTTTAGCGATGCGCTAGACGTCGTACATGTTTTCGAAACGTTTCGCGGTATCGGCGAAACGGAGAAATTACACGATGGTGTTGTGTCAGTATGGCATTTTGTATTTGGCAGTTAGTTCGGCAACTGTTTACCGAAATATTTTTGTTTTATCGGGAAACGAAAGAGCACGCGGGCCCGGGAATTTCAACAGTACTCGGAACGCGTAACATTATTCCGCGCGTTTGTCCAGATAACGATATTACCTACGAGTTTATGCAGTACTATCCGTTGGTTGCGACTATACTTGAGACACGGCAATATATTGGACTTGACAATTGAACAATATTGTAATAGCGAACGAAGAAACCCGTACACGACAGATTTTTCGACTTTGATACGTTTTCACAAACATAACGTGTATGGTATTGTAGTACAACGTGTAATACGACGAGTTGAAGTTCGAATGAGCATTAAACTTCAGTACAATAGGTTGATCGATTTTAACGATACGTCCTGTTGGCTGTAGAGTGTCGAGTCGACGATAAAGATGAGTTGTACAAATTGTGATACGATAAGTTGTAAAATGTGTGCGGTAAATCGTGTATTGCGAGTTGGTAAGACTAGTATACACAACCGGTGTACAATCTGTCGTACGATTAATTGTACAGTGTATGGGACGCTTAAAGCCAAGTAACGCGTCATTATTATTGTTACTAAGCTATTTAGTTGAGTTTTGTTGAAATTCATCGAGACGCGCGATAATAAAAATCCCCGAAGTCGACAATCGAGTGATAACCACCGATTAAGGGCTATGTATAAAACGTACGGGCGCTCCCGAATCTGTAGGGGATTCTATTCGAGACCTAATCGAGGACCGTACGGAAAATGAAAACCTATCATAATTGATTGGCATTCCCATCGTCGTTTCTGCGGCACAACGAACGAGTGGTGCCGAGAACCCGGTCGTCGGCTTAGTTTTTAAAAAATTTTCGTCGACGGGGAGGGAAATCCGCGCGTCGAAACGTAACGACGTGCTCCGTTGTCGTGTTTGTTGTGTTTCGAACGCGTGACGGTGACGGTGGTAGCGGGGTGGTGGACGCGGCGCGCGTAAAAGCTTTAATCCCGTTCACAGGTGTTTCCGACCCGGTGGCGGCCGCAGCGGCTGGCGGTGGTGGGGCGCGGGCATATACGTTCACGTCGAAGTTACTACGGTTAATTTTCACTTTCTACGGCTTCTACGCGGGCGAAAACAGTCGGAAGCGAACGCTGATCGAACGCGTTCCGTGGTATTTTTTTAGTCTATTATTTCTCGCTTCGTCCGAACGGACGACGGCGGCGGCCGCGGACGAATATTGTTATTATTATATTATTTTCGACGGAGTCGTCGGCGGTAAGGTGAAGGCAGCGGTGGTGGACGAGAACGCGGATAAAAAAGAAGCAGTAGGAGACGAACGGCGGAGGTGAATAATTTACAGTGTAGCGTACGTGAAAAAGAGGGAAAAGCCGATTGTGCTGTCACGAGACATCGATAGTGGCGATGTATCGATAGCCGTGACCGCCGTCGCCGCGTGCTGAACTCGCGGTGTTGGCACACGTACACACGCGCGCGCACACACACAGTCACACAAACCCACAGACGCACGTACACGCGCGCACGGCGGCGGCGACGACCACGACCATGGTGGGGAACGTGACAGAGGGCTGCCGCCGCCGTCTTCGTTCAGTGTTCGACGAGATACGGGCGCGGCCAGTACGTCGGTTCGTGTGCGCGTTTCAGTGTGGCGTGTGCGTGCGTGTATGTGTATATAATATATATAATAGAAAAAAATAAAATAAAAAAAAAATAATAATAATTAAATAAAAAAATTTTTTTTTTCATCGTGTTCTCGTTCGTCGTCGCTAACGCGCGCGCGTGTGTGTTTGGTGCGCGCGTTTACATATCCGTCCGTGGTTGCCACTGCGAAATAATAATAATCTAAAAATTAGTATTTGCGTGTGTTGTGTATACGTGCGGCGAAACCGTGTTTCATTCTGGTTTTTCTTACCGTTCAATAACCGTCGTTGTTGTGGTTCAGGAATACAACCGTTGATACCGCCTCTTCGTTTTTCGCGTTCGCCATCGGTATCGTCGCGAAAAAAAGTGTCTCGTCGGTTCGTGTGCGCGCGTGGTGCGGTCGTTCCGAGTGCGTTTTTTCGTCGCCACCGCCGCCGCCGCCGCCGCCTAGTGTCTCGTTGTTGTCTGCGCGTGGCAGTCGCCGCGGCTGCCCCGTCGCTGTGTATGCGTACGTGTGATGCGTGTCCGCCGAAACGCCGCCGGAACCATCGTCGTCCAGAGCACCGGCACCACCACCACCAGCACCGGCACCAACGGCATCAATAGCATCGGCGTAACGTCGTCGTAGCGATGGCGTCGTGCAAACGGCCGTGCTGCAGCCGCAGCACGGGCGTAGCCAACAAGCGGCTGTGCTGCAGGGACGGGGCGTCCACGTCGTCGTCGTCCGGCGGCGGCGGCTCGGGCCAATGCCGCACGGTCGACTCACTGTTGGATATCACCGCGCGCATCGTGGCCGAGACCATACCGTTCCAGCGCATCGAGGAACGGTACAGCCGCATACCGGAACCGGTGCAGCGGCAGATCATCTACTGGTCGTTTCCTCGCAACGAGCGTGACATATTCATGTACTCGTCGCTGATACGCGTGTCGCAAGCCAGCTCGTCGTCGCAAAACTCGGAGCAGAGCAACCTGTCCTTTTACAAGGGACTCAAGTTGCTGGAGACCGGGTGCGTGGACCGGGTGCTGCAAGTCGGTGAGTGCGATTGAATGTTTGGAACCCCTAACCCCGTTTACGGTCGTTCGCGACCCGCAGGATATAAAATAATAATGATAATAGTAATAATAAAATAACAAAAATGTGTGCGCGCGAAGAACGCTATGGGTTTTTTTTTTTATTGTCCTTATGCGAAGGGTACAACGCATCGCAGGAGTATTAGTCGTGGAGTAGCAGTGGTTATAGGCGTAGGAGGTGGTGTAGGCGCAGTGAACCGACGGAACGCTGGATAAACGGCCACGAGGGGGAGGCGCGCATCGTGTGTGCACGCGTCGTCGTCTGCGTAGTGTCGTAGTAGTCGCAGTACAGACCGGTACACTGTACACACATACAATATACGTGTGGGGATACACACACGCACGGGCGCGCGCGTACATGCACCCGCGTCATATTGATCTAATAGCCGGCGGAATTATGTAAAATGCATGCGGGGCACGTCCAGGAAAATTCAACCCCGCCGAGAAGGAACTCATTTCAAATTCTTATTAGCCGTCCGTCTCCATCCCTAGCTTACTGCTTCTTCTCCGATTCTCTTTCTGCGCTCGACTCTTCCCCTGTTTCACCCACACATACGCACACATAACATCTCTAATTCATTTTTTCGTATTCTCAATAAAACGATGTGATAAGAAAAAAAAAAATCTCTGTTAACCGTTAAATCCAAGACATACCGGACTCGTAAGGCGTCATGTCGTACGGTTCGGACACCGCCGTCGCGACCACCACCACTACCAGGTGTTCCGGTGGATATGCATTATTCAAAAGCGCGTTTCTGAGGGGGAAATATCGATACACATAGGCGTGCGGTAATTATTATGGAGCCTCCTATTCCGTTTGTCAGCCACCGGCCGTTCCTCCCGCCCCTTCACCCCGAACACCACGGAGAATACGAATTAAAATAAATTACAATAACTAATATATAATATTTTTTCGTTTTTAAATATTTATACGTCGTTAATTATACGCGAGTCGGCCGAGTCGTATATTCATGAATGCGCCGTATGTAAATGCGGTCTATTGCTATTATTATACCAATACTATGGTCGTCATCATTATATTATTTCGCCATTGAAGCCGCCGTCGCCTCGTTCACACGGGCGAGCGAGTATGCCGTATGTGTGTGTGTGTGTAGGTAGAATTTTATAGTAAGACTTCACAAAAATAATAATTTCACGTGGTCACGGAAAACCGGTGTTTACCGGTGTTGTGTACATAGGGACGAGCAACAACCTAGAAGAGGAGAGGTATACATACTACATACATATTGTATAAAGCGACCGGACAGCAGCAGCAGCAGGTCGTTGCGTCGTCTTCGTCGTCGTGTACACACATACGCTAGGGCGAGCGGACGTTTTTATTTATTTTTCCTTAATTGTTGGTGTTCGGCCAAAAAGCGTGTAGGAAATCGGGCGTGCAGGATCGTGGTCAGGAGACGAGAGCCGCGGTGCGTGATCGCCAATGACGACCGTTATCGCCGCCTCGGGGCAGTCAGTGGATCTCAGGAATTTCCGGTATGCATCACACGTCGATTTCTCGGCGGCGGCTCGTAAACTTCTCATTAGTCGCCGGTTTTCGGATGTATCGTTCTTTTCGTCCGATCACTGATTTCCGTTCCCGACTTTCCCGTTGCTCTCTCGATACACTTCTGATCGCACATGTGAACTCTTATTATTATTATGACGTCGGAGCCGTTGTTTTTTTTTCTTTACGATTTAATAATATACTAATATTATTAACTCGATCGATCACCGTGTGCGTATATGTTGAGTTCTTCAATTATTAGTTAACGCTGTTCACGTCCCGTTTGGCAAAACTCTTGGCCCGCCGGTGACTCCCCGGTGGTGATGGAAGGACCACCTCGAATAAAAGGCCACGCTTTTGTGTGTAAAACAACAGTGTACACACGCGCGCACACTCATTGTTATCCTGGAGTAGGATGAGAGCGCGTAGGAGTCATTGCGACGAAATGTGTCTATTATATTATTTATAGAAAATCGGACGACATTAAAACGAATGAATTAGCGAAAAAGCCAAGAAAAATATATCGGGCTAGTAGTAGAGCGTATACCGTGCGCGTGGGGGTTGTATTTATCGAGTTATGCGCAGCGCAACACAATAGGGTTCCGGAGGGGCTGGGGAATTTTGACGTAATCGCCAATTTTTATTTTTTTTTCACGTGTAATTTTCCCTCGTCGGTTTTAATATTTTTTCGACGCGATGTTATTGTGTACGCATCCGCGACCGCCGTCTACTCTGCTGTTGGCGTCTGGGATGGTGTGTGGTTCTCATTACGATTAATATTAGACCTTTTTTCCCTCTTTTCCGCCCTCTCTGGTTAGAAACCTGAACAAATATTTTTCTCCGCGCGCATAGGTCTCTCGCACAACACACCGCCGCGCGCACTACATATCGACGCTGGGCCGCCGCCGCCACTGGAGGGTTCTCCTTTTATTATCTTTGCCCAAAAACAAACAATTGGCGTCATCGCGTTTCCAATATAACAATAGTCATACATTATATGTATACACATCTATCTATGTACTCTTGCACGGGTATTGTACGCCGCCTCGACAAACAAAAGTTTGAATTATCATTTTATTATTATTATTATTTCAACAAGTCAGTCTTAACAAGACACACGTATATTTTCTAACTTGGTGCATAGCCGTATGCAGTTGGTAGTTTGAGTACCTATGAAATGTATTATGTGAATCGATCCAAATCGTAACGCCTGAAATATGTATTATTATAAAAATATTGTAATCGGTATATTTATTGCGAAAATTTGAACAGCTGCGCGCAATGCTGATAATCGCCTCCACAGGTCGACGGTATTTAAAATAACTATACTCATTATTGATGACAATAATAATTAACGAGATAAACTCTTCGCGCCTGGTGTAGTTATCGCGCAACAACGTGACTTGGCTCGTACCACTGCGAAGTACTGCACCGCGCTCATGCACAGATACGAACTTATTACTCGAATCCCGTGTACGACTGGGTTGTTTGTAAACGCGGTCGACGTGGGCGATTTTCTTCCCCATGAATTATGCATATTCTCTTGATTATCGAACACTCGAAAGTTTGCTAATCCTTTATTCCGTTTACCCGATTGGCCTGGTTTTTTTCTCTCCCCCCCATTGCAGCATGTCCTCGTTGTGTACTTGTCGTGTGTGTGTGGTGGTACACCTAATTCAATGACTTCATTATGTGCTTTCTTCCCGTTCACGCGATTGGTAATGGAAAAATCGAAAAAAAAAATTGCGATTTGTCACCGTCGTCGCGTCCTGTGAGAAATCCACATGAAATGCACCGAAATACGAGTTTTGTTCATTTTTTTGTTCGCAAACAAGATGGCGTCGTCAGACAAAGAAACAGTTTTGTGCTTTTTGTAAAGGGATTTCATGTATGAAGCAGCTGAACCAAAGAATAAAATACGACCAGTTTATGTATGTGTGTGTGTTATAGGAAATCTATTATACGACTAAAACACGTAACCTTATATTATTTTTTCTTATAACACGTTACTGAGTGTTTGAACAACTGGCGTTTGACGCGTAATTATTGTTTACGTCGGCTCCGCACCATGTGTATGACACAAAATATTCCAAAAAAAAAATTCAAAAAACACGTTTTATCAGATATTGGCATTCGTGTGAAACATCGATCCGTCGTCGTCAGTATATTTTATCACGTCCGGCGCGCGTTGTTAACGCAAATGGTAGCCGATTAATCGTCGTCTTCGTGCGCTACGTCTCGTAGTTTCACGCCTTTATTTTATTATGAAATTTATCTTAAAATAAAAATATTATGAAATAATATTTATCTTTAATTAATCCTGCACTATAATTACAATAAGACATTGTTCCCTAGATAAACGGCATTCATTGGTAAAATTAGTTTGATCACAAAAAACGTATTAATATGGTATATAATAATACTAATAGTCATAATTTATAAGTTTCGTGCGAGTCGAACGACTGTTGTAATGATGTTAAAATTTTATATCAACGTCATCGGTTTTTTCCACGATTTACGATGTGGTGGTATCAATCTGTATACAGGGTGATTGTTGAACTAACGAGTATAACTACTATCATCATGCGAGAAACTAAAATTTTACATCTAGGTGCATCGAAATACAATACATATAGGAAATAATATGATTAATTCAAATAATTGTATTGAGATGATTTGGGCATGCGATGGGACGAGAAGAAACAAGTGCAGAAAGAGTTGTTATGAAAATGAACGTTGAAGGGAAAATAGGAAGAAGAAGACCAAAAAAAAAGATGGTTGGATACAATTGAGAATGATATGAGGGTCGTTGGTGTGTGTAGAAGATGTAGAAAATCTAGACGAGTGGAGGTTCAAAATGAGGGTGGCCGACCCTAAATAATTGAGAGAAAGGAAGGAAGGAGATAAAGAAATAATTGAATCTTGAACCAAATTAGTGAGAATTTTTGTGATTTATAAAGAAATAAGTTAATTTATGGTTAATATATATATTTTGATTCTTAACTTTGCTTACTTAATTTTATTTATTTTTTGACATTTAAATGTTCACTGATTACGTTCAGCTCGCATGTATCGCATGGTTCTGTTTATTTCGTTTGTATACTTCTTTTATAAATGGTATTAGTTTTGGAATATTTTCTTCAGCACATCGATTTAAGGTTAAGTTAATAGTGTTAATTTTTTTCTTTTCTGTAAACCGTGTTAAGTCGTACGTCTAAAGTTACATTATTAACCGTATGCTAATAACAATAAATTTCAGCTGTTAATTTTACTGCTATTCTCCTGAAAAACAGAGTTTACCTAGGTACTAATACCTAAGGTACCTAAGGTACTAAATGGATAGCTTGACACAATGGGATGTTCTTCGTAAGGGTGCGTTAAAAAAAAAAACGAGTATTACGTAATTAGTCTATACATATATATTATGGTAACATTTTTGATCTTCTGGCACGACGATA